AAATCTTTGACGTACACCTAATGAGGTTTGAAATGTTTCCATATTTTGATCCTCACCAAAACATGTAAGATTCTTAGCGAACATCCCAAAATCCTCCACAAGTCAAATCTATACATTTTCAGCATCGTCTGATATGCATAAAAAAAACCGATGTCTTTTCTGGAATTCGGTCAAATGAAACCAAAATAGAATTATTCAGTCGAAATTAAGTGAGCATAGATCGAAAAAGAAAATAATTCTGTGTAACAGCCAAATGGCACCAAATTCTAAAATTCGATCGAAGTACAGTAATGATATAAATTGGATTCTTCAGACGAATTTTGCGTGTGTCATGTGAGGAAATGGAAAGTAAATGGGGCTACATATTGACAGATTTCGTCTGAACACCTGCAATAGTTTTCTAAGGTCTTAAAGTTGGCAAGACGTCGGAACTGTCAACAAGACATTGATTCTGAGCATAGAATAAAAGACTTCTAAAAGAAGAATATTTATAATTTATGGAATGACCCAGGCAGTCGTTTGCCTTGGATTCCTGGAGAATTGATAATGAGATGTAAAAGTCCAATACAAGAGTCTAAGAAAACATGAAGAATGAACGCAAATACTGAAAAATGTCAGGCATCATTGCCTGCAAAAACAAAGAAACAAATATTGGATATTTTAGGAAGAAACTGGATAATTGTTAGGATTTTAATTTTGCGCTTCTGTGCATAATTTTACAATATTAGGTCGCATTTCAAAAATATTTTCAATTTTCGGATTTACTTTGGTCATAATTCTGTCAAGTTGCAAGCGATATAACATGTATAAATTTCAAAATAAGTTTTTTTCTTGTTTAAATATATCGGTGAACACTTCATGCCCACTGACTCCTTTCGTGTTTTTTTGGACAGGAATAGAGTTTGATACCCTATCTTTGATTATCGTTGTTCCATTCCAAGATCGGGTTTCCAGTTCCTCCTAAAGTTTTCTCATTCTCTTTTACTCCCAGTAACACTTAGTGCCATTATCGCTTTTACTTGGGATGAAACGATTAATATATATATATATATATATATATATATATATATATATATATATATTATTGTTGCGATTCCGGATGAAATCCGGTCTCAATGAATGACAAACGCAGGAATGAAATATAACAAATAAATGTATTGACGTAATAATACAATTGGTAATACGGTTAGTAGATCCAGAAATGTGGTTAGTAGCAATAATGATATATATACAGTCTGGGAAATTCAGTATCGAAGTATGACTTCCTTCTGAGTCTACGTGCTCGCAACTTTGACTCCTAAAAAGCGGTTCCCTCACACTCTACTTTTCACTGTCTCACTTCCGGGTATTCACCAACAGCAGTACAAGTACACACTGGGAGTCCACTTGTATAGAAAGGGGTGGATCCCTTTAATATATATATATATATATATATATATATATATATATATACACACACACACATATATATATATATATATATATATATATATATATATATATATATATATAAATTAACTGGTATGATAATATGGTTTCATCGCTACACAGGAATTACCATGTTTCAAAATCAGAAACTAAAAACTTCAAATTCAATTACATAATTTAATCAAAATCATTAGTTCTGTTTCATCTTCAAGCGAATTTTGGAATAACTTATTTTGAAATTTGCTGAGTTTTAATAGCATATACATTCGTAATTTTTGTTTCCAAGGATACATAGAAATCCAATCATTAAGACAGAGGCGGTAGCGTGTTCTTTTTTTATTAACTATTATTCTATCAATTATGAATTACGTTCGAAAAGAGGTTAAGTTTAGGTAGAGTAGGGGTGTCTTTTTTCAATGAATTTTGACATCCGTTCAACTCATGCCGTCTGTTTTTTTTGTTTTTTTTTGTCTCTACAACAAAAAGTTTTTCGGCATTTTATTCATTAATTCATACTTGTATACATACAGATTCTTTCTAAAAGGGGTGTTTGGATTAGAAACCGTTGTATTCAACTACAATTTTAAAATGTTTTTATTATTTACTTTTAATTGTTTATAGTTTATATTTCTTTTTAAAACAAATAAACGTAAAAGAATTACTTAAATTTAAAAAAATTATTATTGCATATCAAATATAAGTATATATATCACCAGCTACGCTTATTTATTTTTTAAAATATTATTTAAGGACACTTTTTGACAATGTCGACAAAGAATACCTATTTCATGTCTATGATTCAGTGAATTTTTATTTTTATAAACCTAGTAATATATAGTTTCTCATGTATGCACAAAGGACATGGGTCATTTAATGACCTACAGATTCTAGCTTTTATTTATTAATTTCCATTTTACCGCAGTTGTTTTATTCGTTTCTTTTAAGTGCCAGAAATATTTTGATAGGGACGTTTGATTTCGGTATTTATTTATCCTAGATGAACTTTGATGTTGATTGAATCTATTTTTAAACTCATGGTTTGCGCAACCTATATAGATTTTTATGTTTTTGGGATTCTCAATAGATGATATTGCATTGGTATACTAATGATTCCGTGTGACATTTATTTTGTAGAGGACAATTATGAGAATTTCTTCAGTTACATAATTTTTGTTTATCTTCATCTTCTCTAAGTTTTCAGTACAGCTACCACTTAATTTTAGTGTATTTTTATAGAAAATAGTACTAAGTTTACTATCTCTAGGAACATGTATAACGATTAATGCAAGGAATTTGTGTCCTAATTTATTCTTTACCATTTGGTTGTACGGGGTGTATACCAAATTATTTTTCTGTTTTTGTTTTTTCTATGCTTTCCATTTTCATTTTTTATGTAAATTAGTTTGGGGCTTTTGTTACAACTATCTTTTAGAGCTTTATTATAGAAATTAATATGTTCATTGAAAATCTTCTCATTTTCTGAATTTGTACTTATTCTTTTTTCGATAAATAAAGGTATATGCTTGATTAGAGATGGAGGGTGATTAGATTTAGGGTGTATATACAAAGGATTAGTATTGGGTTTTTTATACGGTATGTATACATTTTTCATTAAATCTAATGTTATATCAAGGAAGTTAACTTTTTTCAATTTAGTGCTTGCCGTATTTTTTAAGTTCAGGCGTTTAAATTCTTTGCATAATATCTTTCTAATTTTATCGATTTTAAAGTTAGTAGAGTTCTTTTTTAACCATAAGTCCATCGTCTCTGTATAAACCAATGTCAGTTATATTAATTTCACCGTACGCTGTGAGATTGTATAATATAGAAAGACATATAAGATCAGAAGACTCAGCTTGTAATGTCAAAGTAGTCGTAAAATTTTTTTATCCATTGCTGACCTTTATGTATCAGTACCGATTTTTTTGCATTTATAATAATGCTCTTTTCTTCTTCAGTAATATCCGTGTAGTGGGTAGCAAAGTCCAACGCATTCATGAACAGTTCTTTTGATATTGATTGATAATAATTTTCAATATCAAACTGCATTAGTGTACAGTTTGTTTTATCTTTAATATCAGCAAACAAGTTTATCACGTCATTGGTATTAATCCAAAGTTTCAGCCCTACATTTTAATTTGTTGCTCAATCCTTTCTAGGATTTTTTTTTAACTATTTTGCCGATCTCAGGTCTTGTTGGGTTTATTATATATATATATATATATATATATATATATATATATATATATATATATATACTGCACTTAAAGCTGGCTATTTGGTTTTTCTTGTGTTCGTACAAGGTTTTTTTTTTTTTTCTGACACGAAGTTTGTAAAAATTGACCATCAAGGGCGATTGTTATTTTTAACTTTTTTAATTGACTGTGTGGGTTTTTTATATATATGTTTGATGTTATAGGAATGTCTTATTTTCTAAACGCAGTCAGTATATTGTTTAAATTTCTTTTATTTTCATTTCCCAAGTAGTTTCGACCTTTTCCAAGATCATCTTGGGAAAAGATCGAAGTACTTGGGAAATGAAAATAAAATAAATTTAAACAGCTATAACACATTTCTCTCATCTTTTAACATCAATGCACGGGAGGATGTCTGTAAATATGAACTGATTTTATTAAAAATTAGCACACATAATGTTTGTAGTTTATTCAATCAGACATGTCTAAAAGTGAATATATATATATATATATATATATATATATATATATATATATATATATATATATATATATTCTTCAGAAAATTTACCTAAAATGCAAAGATTTAAAACCTGTTTTTCTCCACACAAAAATAACTATGAGGAGAGAAAAATGTGGAAACTATGAAATAATGAATATGCGATTATATTTCTATACCTGGGCTTATTTCATAGCTCGTTCTGGGTAAGACGATAAACTACATCCAGCAGCAAGGCCTCTGATCAGGAGGTTTTGAGGAGCGTGGAACCACCTCTTAATGGCTGGTGTTCCCAGGTCCACCCTGGCCCAGGGTGGTAGCACCTGTTAGGGTCCCAGCTATAGGCAGATAGCTAACTATTACCAGCAATACTTTTTTGAAAAAAAATTATTAACAGATTTTTGACAAAGCAAAATATTATCAGCAATAAAAAATGTCGGCATTAAATAACTCATTGAGGTTGATATGTCGTACAACAAAATAAAGCAAACCAAACCTGTTTCATAATCACAATAACTGTACGTTCTTCATCGTTGTTCGATCGCAGCTACAAGACAGCATTTCGAATTCTGATTTTCATGCCAGACCCACTTTATTACCAATTTTACCAAATTAAGCTTCGTAAATCCCTACTGGCACATATGCAAATGATTCGTCTTTAAATGTCCAGACATGAACATATGAAAAATTATTTTGCTAAAGGGTGGTTCCCGTAAAAATGTTTTCAATGGTCGTTAAAAAATTTATACACTTTAGTGATTACTGAAATGTGTTACGAAAAAAGTCTGTTGAGGAAGAGAAAATGTTTTCAGTTCGTATGTGGGAAACACAGATAAATTCTACATTAAAAATGTTAGGAAAGAAGAGGGTATAGATTATTAAATAACAAATGATGTTGACAAGTAGACAACTATAATATGCTTATATACAGCATAAACACGCAAAAAGATAGAAATGAAGGAAGGACACAGACTGAGACAGAGAAAGAGAGAGAGAGAGATAAATATAGAGGTACAAAAGAGATATAAGAGACTGGGATAGATAGATAGATAGATAGGAAGGAAGGAAGGAAGGAAGGAAGGAAGGAAGGAAGGAAGGAAGGAAGGAAGGTTAGCCAGATCGATAGGAAAGTTATAATGAACAAAATGAGTCACGGATAAATAGAAATTTCGGGGTGCAAAAAAAGAGATAAGAGACTGTAATAGATAGATAGATAGATAGATAGATAGATAGATAGATAGATAGATAGATAGAAAGGAACGAACGAACGAAAAAAGGAAGGAAGCTTATATATATGTGTGTGGGTGGAGAGAGAGAAATTCAACCACAATTTTGATTTTATAAATGCTACACTCATAAAAATAGAAAATGTCGCCATTGATTATTATCCAAATATTAATGTATCTAATAGATATATTGAAAAAGAAAATGGAATCAGTGAAAATATTCTCTTCAAATATAAAGTAATTGACGTAATTTTTCAGTTGATCGTATGAATATACAATAGCGTTTCTAAATTCTTCTAGTTGCTAATGGCATTTTGTTTGAAGTTTATAGATACTTTGTTTCAACAAATTCATTTCGTTTTTTGCATCGGACGAAACGTGTCGGCTAAAATTGCAGTTTTCCTATTGTCTTTTTTATAGATAGATAGATAGATAGATAGATAGATAGATAGATAGATAGATAGATAGATAGAGAGATAGATAGATAAGAAGAAAGGAAAGGGGTAATAAGAGCAGAGTATAAGAGACAGAAATATAAGAAAATCACATAAAAATGCAAGGAAGTGAGAAAGAAAGAAAGAAAGAAAGAAAGAAAGAAAGAAAGAAAGAAAGAAAGAAAGAAACGAACGAAAAAGGAAAGACGAATGAAAATGGAACAGAATCAGAAAAAGATAATTTTATGAAAGATGAACTTGGAGGAAAAATGAATACAAATACAACGAGATATGTACAATATTCAGATACTACGAAGTGCCAATTTGCGCCGCAATTCTCTGAAATTAGTATTTTAATCTCGAAGAAAGCCCACAATTCAACTTCTTTTCAACGACTCGAGTCGAACAAAAAGCACATGCGCGTCTCTATGGCATAATACCGGACTCTTTCCCTACACGGAATCATATGGTTGCATGAACGCCCGTCTAAAGCTAAGACAGAAACCCTACATATCTATGAATATTATTACATCAAAGAAATAAGAAGGTGAAACATCACGACAGCGACACAAAGAGAAGAAATGAGTTAACAAATATATTAACAGAAAAACAGTAATACAATCATATACAAACGAGCAAGTCCCACTGACTGCTGGAAACTACACTCTAAAAGCAGTACCTTTATTATTTGTAACTAGATAGAGTCCATCTATGTATGGATAAATATCATATATATATATATATATATATATATATATATATATATATATCGTTTCTGGGTCTATAAAAATTAAAACAGCTCCATTGATGAAAGCATTCTTAGAACTCCATTTTTCGGGATAGGGAACAGCTGCCTCGTTACATTTTGTTGGATTGCCTCGACATCTTGAAATCGCGTTCCTTTCAAGTGGCTTATGTGTTTTGAAGAGAACAGATGTCGCAAGGAGCTGGAGAATATGGTGGTTGTCGGACCTGGAGAATATTGTCCTTAGCTAAAAACGGCTGCACCAGCCATGGAAACTGATGGAAAGTTCTGAGGTGTGATGAGATGACTATTCTACATACTTTCCTTCCAAAGAGTGATATAAATAAGGGACGTGGGCGAGAACATTATAATAGTGTTTATTTGTAACAGAATTCAAGGTCAATCTGTGCCAAGCCGCCTCACTCTGTGTACATTAGCTACATTACCACAGCAACAAACCTGATATATATATATATATATATATATATATATATATATATATATATATATATATATATATGACCTAAGGGCCCAAGGAAAATTAATCGGTCTGGAGGAGATTGGGCGATCCCAGCGTGCGGCACCTTTGGAAAGTGGAAAAACCATACCACGAGTTGACCCAAGCCTTGTGAGTGAAATTGGGTAGACGTAGGACTTGTCGATAACTGCGCTAAGCACAAAGTCACAAGTCCTCGTGACCGATGATTTGAGTGTGCTGGCCTTGTTCAGATTGTTCATCACATTAGAAAACACGCTCTCTCCCAGAAACTGTAACTAAGCTCTGATCAGCATAGTTCCAGTATAAACCACAAATGTGCCAGAGCGAGCGTCTTTAATAGGGATTGGCTAGCCGCCCTAATAGACGGGTATCCTCGAATAAGAGAGGCCAGCTATTATATATATATATATATATATAAATATATACGGAAAAAACAAACAAAAACCCTTATATACAATAATGGTGTTTTAATGTTAATATGTCAACGTCGGACGCTTCGGTCTAATAAACCATCTTCAGGACATATTCATAAATATAACATTATCAATACAACATGACAATTTATGAATATGGCCTGAAGATGGTTTATTAGACCGAAACGTCCGACATTGACATATTAACATTAAAATAGCATAATTGTATATATTTTTTGTTTGTTTTTTCCATATATTTTTCTTTCATACTGTCGGATCTATATCCATATATTTGCTTACATATATATATATATATATATATATATATATATATATATATATATATATATATATATATGAGAAGATTCCATGCTCCGTGACTGATGAACAATGTGTATAGGTATATATATATATATATATATATATATATATATATATATATATAGGTATATATATATTTTATATATATATATATATATATATGTAGTTCTATATATATATATATATATATATATATATATATATAATGAATTAATATGTCCGAGAGGATTCCATGCTCTCTGACTGATGACTTAGCCTGTTCACAACTTAACAATGTGTATCTGGAAGAGTTTGAGTTCGCAAAAAATTGAAAGACGCCGGAACACTGAAGTTGTAAGGAAAGTATGGCGAGCATATTATCGTCTTCAGCTTTCAAACTAATTGAGTTCCCATCGCCCGTCAAGGGATCGTGGATATACTGTTAGAGTTATCCACTCCTAAGTTGATGACGCCTGACCCCTTTTAGAAAGGTATCCAACCATTTAACCCCTACTGGAGAAGCTATTATACTCCAAGCCCGGACTGACTCATAGGGACTCTGCCAACAACACATGTAATATCAAATTTCAATTAATTATAAATTCCATTTATCTTTTATATCTTTCTTACACCGCCTTTATTCCTAATTGTCCTTAGGGTCCATTTTGGCTTGCTAGCACGAAAAACTAAACTAATGACATTTTTGCACCATCTCTTATGGTGATTTTTTTACGAAATTCCTGAGAAATTTTCTGCTGCATCAGAATTCTTATTTTTACTATTTCTTTTTTTTTTTAAGTGACATTCTCTAGCGGTGATAAAAGAAATATCTCGTAAGGTCCATGCTAACATCTCAATTTGAGCCTTCTATTCAAAGTAAAAACTAATGATTTCAGTTTCAAACTGCTATCAATTGCGGATTTGCGATGGGGACTGACTTTTTCAAGTAAATTAAACATATATCTAGCAATCTAGATATATCTAGCAAGCTATTTTCATTAGAAAATTAAGTACTAAAGTCACAAGATGTAAAACTATATTTTTAAGTTCACTTTTAGTCACACGATCTCGCCCTCACTTTCTGTCTTTCTCTGTCAGCCTCTGTTGTACGCACACACACATATACATTATATATATATATATATATATATATATATATATATATATGATGACCCCCACCTCTCTCTCTCTCTCTCTCTCTCTCTCTATATATATATATATATATATATATATATATATATACATAGGTGTCTCAAATATACTTTGACAAACTTTAGGGGCGGGTTCATCACACCAAAACAAGGACAAAAAGTCCATATACGCATATGTCCAAAAGGCATAAAATTTGCTCCGATGACTTCTACACATGGATGCTCCTATAGGATCAACGACTGTTGAACAATTTCAAATAGGCCCACCCGGTGTCGAATGGTTTCGCAGGCCCCCATAACACATTGATGAAGCGTTTCTGCATAATCCAGTTGTCTTAAGTGGCCCCACAAATAAAAATACAAATTATTGTGGTCGAGGAAACGTGCAGGCTATGGAACCCCCTACATATCCCTGTTTCATGGTAGTCGTTAGACAGTGCATTGCGAACAATGTGACTAAAATGCAGCTTCATCATGCATGAATCACATTCGTCTTCGTATTAGCAGGAGTACATCCACTAGCACGTTTGGAAATTTCCTGTAGACAGCTCTTGTAAGACGTGAAGGAAGAACATATGGGCCTACCACACAGACACCTACAATTCCAGCCCACACATTAATCCTAGACTGATGCTGATGTCTAGCTTGTATTGTAACATGGGGATTTCGATCCGATCACAAATGTTGTTTTTGTAAATTTGTTAATCCATCTCTTCAAAATTTTGCCTCATCCGTAAACAAGTTTAAAGAGACAAATAACGGATCGGCAGTTTGTGCAATAAACCATCGGCAAAAAGTTTTCCCGTGGTGAGTGAACAGAGAGCGAAAAACGCTGTACACGTTGCAAATGATACGGATACAGGAGGTGCTCGTGTACTTGCTCAGTACTATGCGATGTATGACATGTTAGGGCCACTTGACGTGTGCTGATAACTGGATCGTGTCCGATAGCCTGTGGAATGTGTTATTCGTGGTCTTCATCGATCCAGTTTGTGGTGCCAGGAAAGTTTACATGACTCAGTTGCTTTCGGCCTGGAAATGCAATATGATATATAAATGGCCTTATGTAAAAATCGTAGTTGCCTGGTCACGTAATGAATACCCTGCCATTGTCAAAAGGAACACTTCTCAGTTAACTCACTACTAAACACGTTAAACTTTGAAGACTAGGTACAAATATACACGAATGACAAATGTAACCGAGTCTACATTTCAACACAGTGCCATCTATCATAAACATTCTATAAATTTAATAACTCAAAAATGAAGGATTTGCAGATGTATGTTTATATGGGCTTTTGGTCCTTGTTTTGGTGTGAGGGTTTTTAAAAGTATTTTTGATATATATATATATATATATATATATATATATATATATATATATATATATATGGGGGTGAAGATTTAATATTTCAAAAGTAATAAACATATTTCCATATTGTGCTGATTATTAAAAATATTAAAATAATATTAATATTAAAAATAAAGCCGTCATATTATCATATACAGAAAAGTTA